AAGTTGTTTCTGCACCATCTGTCAACAAAATCAATTCTGAGCATTTCTGACTTCTTCATGACATTAGTTTCCACTTTAGAAAGCAGAATGGGTGCATCTGTTTGACAAAGCCAAGGTCATGCGTCCGCCCCTGGATGTACCTGCATCTGACTTTTTCAGTTCTTATTATGGGAGACGCACTCTTTACAGGTAGCAGAATTCCCTAAATATGGGAGACGGATTTGGATTCTGAGTGGACATTTTGTTTTGTGTGTAACAAAACCACATAAACCAGAAGTATATGTGGTTTATTTGGGAGTTTCCCAGAAATCACGGGGATGGAAGTAAGATAAGAAAGGGAAGACAGACAATGGAGCACAAATGATCAAAAGAGTTATTGCTATGGGGTAACTAGACTACATGTCTCAGAGTCATCACACCCAGGGCCTGGGAGCTGGGATATGCACCACTGTATCCCCCACTGCTGAGAGCAGCTGGGGTGGGGCTTAATTCTCCCGACTCCCAGCCTTTCTCCCTCATGTGTGAGCGGAGCGGGCTTCAGTAGCCAAAGCAAACCTTCGAGGAAATGAACATGGCAACTGGTGGTTGAAAGTTGGGCAGTTGTAAGCTGAAAAGATAAGGGATAAAGATAAGAGATAAAGTATATGGCAAGGCATCAAGGGCATCTGCTACAGGGGATGAGATGAAAGACAAAGGTCTCCAGACACAGAGAACTGCTAAGTGTTCAAGATACAACAATGAACCAGAGAGAAAGCAGCATTCCTGGTCTCACTAGCTGGTGGTCTCAAGATTCAGACGTGAACAGGCAAGTGCAACACAGCAGGACAAGAGCAATAACAGAGGCAACCTAAGGAGACAGAGCTAGAGCTAGACATTTGGCCTCTAAGACGCAGGAGGATAGGGATGGCATTCTACTCATTTCTGAATACCCATTGCCTAGGATGGTGTCCATTCAATACATGTTTTCTGGCTCAACACTGAACTGTGAAGTTCAGTCCTAGTGTTGTTATATTCATTGTCTCTGTATATCACTATAACTCTACAAGGTAGATGTGTCCCCATTGCACTGGGAAGAAAGTGAAGGCACTAGTAGTTAACCCTGCGAGATCACAGTCAAAAAAGTTACAGTGTAGTTTGCATGTATCTGAGAGATACACTCATTACTAGTATGTGCTGAAATGTGAAAAAAATTAAAAACACTGCAAATTGGCATTTATTATACTTATATAATAAAATACATGATTTTTGTTCCAGTTATAATCTAGAAACTATTAAATATAAAAACAAAGAATAAAGGTTTTTCTTTTCAAATAATGGGAACATGTATATCACTAAAAAATACAACCCAAATATGTCTTCAATATTAATCAGAATCTTTAATAGCTGGCTTTGCAAAGCATTTGTAACAGTCATTGCAAACAATCTTGCTGTGCTCAAGGCAGAATTACAATACTTGCAAAAATATTTTGATAAGCAACTCATTTTGGATGCATAATACCTAACACATCTTTTCCTTTTTCTGCTCGTTGAGGGAGCCATATCTATGTCATTAGAATTTTCTTCAATTTATGCTTGAAATTGATGAAGTTTCAGGTGTCAGGCTTATGCACACCTGCAGAGATTTCTGAACACCTTTTTGTTTGTTCTGACACTAATTGTGTTACGAGATTTCTAATAAACATTCTGTACTTTATTTTCACAGTGCTGTTCAGCATATGAATAGTCTGAGCATGTACTCCTGCAGTATTCAAAATCATGTAGACTATAACCACAGGCCATCTTCTGGTGTTCCTGGCCACATTATGTATACCTATCATTCAGTCCACAGTATCAAACTTTCTTTGGCTATCATATTCTATTATGTCAGGCTTTTGTGAATATAAATTTACAGTGCCATTGAAATGCACACTTGAAACTAAAATTACATTTTTTAAATTTTGGGGGGTAGATGAGATGCAAGTGTACAATCTGCCCCAAAGGAAAATAAGTTGCATTTTTGGGGCCTGTTTTTAGAAGAAACAAATTCAGGAGGTAGTTGGGGTTTATTCTTACAAACAGTACCTATGTATGAAAGTTGCTTACAAGACATGTGTTATAACCAAACTGACAGCTTAAGTGTTACAGCTTAACATTAGTCATGTACAAATGCTCAGCTAGTCATGACCTTGAACCAATGTACCCAATATATGTAATACTATTTAAGAAAAGAGTTTGTGTGTAGCCATGACATCTGCAGGATTACTCTTAACTGTCTGAATACTCCTAGTCCTTCTTCATATCTCAGCTTTGATGTAACTTGTTCAAAAGGTCCGCCTGCCCAGGGCACCCCATTTCCAAGCCTGGGCTACCCCCATCAGACAACTCATCCTCAGGATTTCACTCATTCTTGTGAAATGTCCGGAGCTGAGCTCTTTCAGAGCAGGAACTAGGTCTGTTTTGTTTAGCATCCAGGCCAGTGCCAGCTCATTCTATACATGCAAACCTTACTTACAGTGATCATCTTTTGAACTACTTGAATGAATAAATAAGGGTCACAGATGTGGAGTAACTTGACCAGTCTCAAATTGAAGAAATGGCAGAACCGAGACTTGAACTACAGTCAGCCTGACCCCCAAATCATCCTATACTTTGCTGAGCAGTGAGCAACTTATCCATCTATGACATCAAGAACATGTAAGTTGGCTTAAAGGCTACTGTTTTAAGGTCAAAGTAATGGGGCGGGAAGTATCTAAGAACATCCCATAATCATCAGACAGAGGGATTACAAAGCAGAACTCTAGATCTAAAGCTAGAATAAAGTTTGTATAGGGCAGCCAAAGTTTTGCTGGATATTTTTGAAGTACCCCCTAGATTTTAACATTCTAATTTTTAAATATATTTTATTGATTATGCCATTACAGTTCTATTCCCCCCTCCCCCACCATTCTCCCCCTTTAGTTTATGACCATGTGTCTCAAATTCTTTAGATTCTATATTTCCCCTACTATTCTTACCCCCCCCATCTATTTTCTACCTACTGTCTATGCTACTTATTTTCTGTACCTTCTCCTTCTCCCACTCCCCTGTTGCTAACCCTCCATGTGATCTTCATTTCTATGGTTCTGCTCCTGATCTAGCTGTCCTCTTAGTTTGCTTTTGTTTTAGGTGTGGTTGTTAATAACTGTGAGTTTGCTATCCTTTCACTGTTCATCTTTTTTATCTTCCTTTTCTTAGGTAAGTCCCTTTAACATTTCATATAATAAGGGCTTGGTGATGATGAACTCCTTGAACTTGACCTCATATGGGACGCACTTTATCTGCCCTTCCATTCTAAATGAAAGCTTTGCTGGATAGATCAATCTTGGATGTAGGTCTTTGGATTTCATGACTTAGAATACCTCTTTCCAGCCCCTTCTTGCCTGTAAGGTGTCTTTTGAGAAATCAGCTGACAGTCTGATGGGAACTCCTTTGTAGGTGACTGTCCCCTTATCTCTTGCTGCTTCTAGGATTCTCTCCTTCATTTTAATCTTGGCTAATGTAATTCTGATGTGCCTTGGTGTGTTCCTTCTTGGGTCCAACTTCTTTGGGATTCTCTGAGCTTCCTGGATTTCCTGGAAGTCTATTTCCTTTGCTAGATTGGGGAAATTCTCCTTTATTATTTGTTCAGATAAGTTTTCCACTTGTGGCTGTTCCTCTTCCTCTTCTGGTACCCGTATAATGCTAATTTCTTAAGTAAAAGGAAAATGATTCTCTCTAGCACCCCAACTGGAAAGAAAAACTGACTATTCTCAGGTTGAATAATTTTATATATAGAAAGCCCTTCAGACTCCACCAAAAACTACTTTAAATAGTAAACAAATATGGTTAAATAGTAAACAAATATGGTAAAGTTGCAGGATACCAAATCAGTAACAAACTATCTGAAAATGAAATGAAGAAAACTAATTTACAGTTGCCTCAAAAGAATAAAATACTTATGAATAAACTTAACAAAGGAAATAAAAGACCTGTACTCTGAAAATAAGACATTCTGTTTTTATGAATTGGAAGAATTAATATTGTTAAAATGTCCATACTGCCTAAAGCACTTTGCAGATTCAGTGAAATCCTTATCTCAATGGCATTTTTTTTTTCAGAGAAAAAGAATACTATAATTTTTATGGAACTGTGAAAGATCCTAAAGAGCCAAAGCAATTGAGAGAAAAAGGAACGAAGCTGAAAGCAACACACTCCCCGATTGCATACTATATTACAAAGATACAGTAATCAAAACAATACAGTACTGGTAGGAAAAAAAGGCAAACCAATGGAACAGAATTAAGAGCCCAGAAATATGGACAACTAATTTACAGTGAAGTAGCCAAGAATATAAAATAAAATAAAGTCTCTTTAATAAATAGTGCTGGGAAAACTGGCCCACTACTTTATGCCACACACAAAAATTAACTCTAAATGAATGGATTAAAGGCTTAAATGTAAGATCTGAAACAATAAAATACATGGAAGAAAACAGGCACTAAGGCTTCTGGACATCAGTGAATGGTGTTTTTGTGAATTTGTTCCCAAAGGCAAGGGAAATGAAACAAAACAAAAATAAACAATCGGGAGTACCTCAAACTAAAAAGTTACTGCACAGCAAAGGAAATCATCAACAAAACAGAAGGGCAACCAAGCAAATGAGGTACCGATGTACATTTAAGAGGAATATTTGAAATTGCATTGCAAAACAATCATTTTCATTAATCTCCTTTTTGTGCTTTTTTTTTTTTTGCATTTGAGAAGCTTAGAGGAAAAAAAAATATGTCCTGAGTCATAGAAAGCAAAGGTAATTTGTCAATCTGCCTTGTTAGGTTAAGATAAACTTGACAGTACACAGGGACATTACTTTAAAAAATGTGGCTGTGCTAAGCATGGAACATATAATCCTACATTACAATTCTTTTGGATTTAGCTCATAAGAATTACAGCTTTCACAATGCACAAATATGATTTTGGAGTAAAGGTGAAGTTGAAATACTCACATTCAGCTGTGCAGATGAGAGGATCTAGCCAAATTTCTGTATTTGCTCTGCAGGCATGCGGTGCACTTCGAAAGCAAGATGCCTTACTGTGCCAGGTTATATTTTCCCAAAATGGCTGTGTTCATATTTCCAGTTCCACACATTCCTGCAGAACTTGCTACTTTCCCCTAATGAGGTAGAGTCTGTTTCTCTTCTTAGACCTGGACAATGAGTTCTGATGACCTTGAATAAAAGAATATAGAGAAAGTAATGCTGTATGATTTGCCTTTGGAACCCAGGTACCATGATGGGGGCAAGGCAAGCAGCCACACAGAAGGGCCACATGTAGGTGTTCTGGCCACAGTCCCATGTTGGTCCCAGCCAACAGACAGTATTCACTACCAGTCACTCTTCTTCAGCCTTCTAGCCACTTACCTGATGCCACTTGAGAGAGAAAAAATGTCCCCATCACTCCCTGCAAAAAAACTGTAAGCAAAATAGACATTGTCATTGTCTTAAGCTATTGTTTTGAGATTTGTTCTATAGCTACTGTAATACTTATCAAGTATTGTAATTCTGTTTTGTCTTCTGTCAATAGGTTAAGTCACTTGTCACCAGGAGAACAATTTAACAATCATTTACAATCATATACAATGGTTTATATAGTCTGGTGTCTGACTCTCAAAATAACTGCCTTGTTATTCCACTATGCATTTGGTCACTGACCAGCATCGTGTGAGAGCTATGCTTGTTCAACTGGAACAATGCAAATTCTTTCTTCAAAAATTATAAAACTAACACATACTCATGAAAATTCAAACTTTACAGTGTTTTATTAAGAGAAAAAGGAAAATACCACTTCGTTGCCTAACTTTGTTAGTTCCCCGTCTTTCTAAGGTAACCATACCAAACCTAGCACACCCGTTCAGACCTATCTCAGATCTCAGACACTTTTATACACACACATCCTGAAGCACATATCACAAGCAAATCTATGATATATTACCAGTTTCTTTTCAGTATGTTCTTAATAATTATCATCAAGATATGAAGATGATGATGATGGTTTCCACTTTAAAAAAATTCTTATTGCCAAGTTTATTAATGGGTTTTGCAGAGGAAAGGTACAAAAACTGAGAATAGAATATCTTAATTAAAGAATTTCTTACAATAATAGAAAACAGCAAGTCTGAAGATTCAAAAATAACTAATTCAATTGGTATCAAGTTGAATTTTACCCTCACCCCCTTCACTCTATATTTAGCACTTTTTAAAAAGTATTTTTATTCATTTTTTGATATTTTTAATTAATGTTCAAATACAGTTGTCTCTATTTTCTCACCACCACTTTCCCCTGCCCTGCTCACCTCCACTTCCCACCTTCAGTCCTACCCCACTTTGGCTTTGTCTGTGAGTCCCTTATACATGTTCATTTATGACCCTTTCCCATGTTATTTCCCTCCCCCCTCCACTTCTGAAAAACAATCTCTTAATATGAACCAGGCAATGCAGAACACAGATAGCTTAAAATTTGCTAGAGAAAACAGAAGATACTAAAACATTAAGGCTATTGTTTATGGGAAATTAGTTGTTAAATTTACTAGCAAGAATCATATCTGTATTTGCTGACTGATACATACGGCACAGTGTCCAGACATGGAAGGCTCTCAATAAATAAATATTTGTTGAATGAATGAATAAGTGTTCTAATCACAGGCTCAAACAATACCCCAGTTGATTTACTTCTGAAATGGCTGGGACCGATCAGTGTGTGAATGCTTCCAAAATGCAAATTCCATTTATTCTGTTTTCAGACATTTGTTTAGGTAATTAAATTACCCTCTGTGTGGGTTATCAAGACAATGACATAGCTAAAGTGTACAATTCACACAAGGGCAAGGTTCCCCTAGGGTCAAGTGGTTATGTTCAAATAAATTTAAACCTCCTTACCAAAAAGTATTATCTTTTGTATTAGTTGTTGCCATACTTAAGTGATTTTTCATGAGGGACTGAATCAAGAAAGAATGTATATGGAAGTGCATGTGGTTATATGTGTGTGTGCACATGTGCATGAGTACACATGGGCATATATAGATCTTTTTGGAGGAATATACATACATAATAAATATCTTTTTTAAATGGTAAAGTTGGGAGGGTTGGTGGTATTTAGGGAAAAAAGTGTGAATAATACATAAAGAATTAAGGATTTGTTTTCTGTCAGAGGAAGAAAAATCATACCTGTAAGATGGTTGCCTCCAAATTTAAACACTACCCAAATAAATATAAGCAACTTATGCACTTTAGGCCTAAAAAAGCCAAGGTACTGGCAATAATTGGGTGGAAGACAAAGGAAGTCCTGGAAAACAAAATTATGGACATTATTTAACCATTAATACCAGCTCGGGGTTTCAGGTCACTAACAATAACTATGATTTGTAGAATGATGGATATCTACATGGCACTTCCCCAAATTCCATCTCTGCTTAAAATGTAAATGCTTTCCAAATGCTTTTCAATTAACCTCTGTTACTCCAAGAAGTTCTTTTGGGTCAGGCTGGTGATGAAGGATAATGGTATTGGTACTGGTTGACCTACCATTTATTCTTTAAGGCTTGTCCCTTTCCATGCTGGACTGACAAATAGGCATTTAGGTGAATTATTTTTCTTTCCTTTTCATTTGGAAATTCCAAGAAATGTTAGCAACCTCTGCTCTGTTTCTATGACAAAAACTTATTAGGGCATTCTAAGTGATTGTATAGCTTATTGTGAGACTCATATATCACCACTGGGAAGTGATTCCTTGCTTTTGAGACACATCAAAACTTTCCACCACTGAAAATGCAGTCGTCATGCTGGTAACATGTCCAAAATCAAGGGCACTGAAAGACTGCAAAGAAGCTGAGAGAAAGCCTTGTATTCCACCCATAGAAATCAAGAGAACGAAATTAAGAGAATGTCTAAGAAAATTTCTAGCATTCTAATGGTTTTTCAGGTAATCAAAATAAATTAACTTATCAAGAAATCTTAAATGAAAGAGAAAAATCAAAGCTGGGCACATTATGAAAGTCCAAGGATGAATCAATGTTAGAAAAATCCTATTAGTATAATTCACTAAGTTATGAGTCACAAGAGAAGAACAGCTTTCTTCTCCTTCCCCTCCTATACTCCCCCATCCCTTCATGAACAATTCAGTCCAAGCCCATTAACTAAGTTCGAAAAGAAGTGGTGGGGGGCGGGGTTAGAACTTGAGTGGTGTGAGAAGAGCATACACAGGAAGAGGGCAGTGCTTGTAGATGGAAGATTGGTGTCACACGACACTTTGACCATGTAGGTACTATCTTAAGGATAATGGAAGTCAGGTTTCTTAATCTCAGAGAAGGGAATTACAGATGTGGAAAGGGAAAAATCTAGAATAAACCAACACAGTTGGATTGAAGTAAAAATGTCCTCACAAATTCATGATTTTCAATTAGATGAATGGGTAAATAGATAGATATATAGACAGATGAACAGAATGCATTAAATCATAAACACATGTGCATATTTACATAATCATACATATATTCTCTCACCCACTCCACTAAGAAGGGCTTGGGAGCAATGACATCCAAAGAGCAGTGAGCCTACCTTAGAGATCAAGCCATGGTCTCTAAATATCATTCTTCACTAAGGAAAATCAGGCTTCTTTGTCAAATGGCTGCTTCTAAGTCTGAGGAAGGCAGAATAGAGATAAAACTAGAGGATCTTCTTATACCAGAGGGGGAAAGAAATGAAGGGGGCATACCAAAAGAATACAGAAGCAGTTAGGTATTCCCATTGGTCAAATCTGGGATTTTGACATCAAAATAACTATTTTAGTAGTGAATCGTCACATGAAAAATTAAATATGAAAATATGGTTCATACTGATACACATAAATGAATAAATATTTGGTAAAGAATGAAATATTTATATCCTTTCAAAGTAACTTATCACAAAATAAAATTATTTAAAAGAAAAATGATACTTTATAGGAGATAAACCTGAGGTATAACAACTTAATCAAGTGATCAAATTGAGCATCACCAGTAATAGGACAAATGAAAATAATGTACCACTTGATAACATACAATGATAAGAACACGGTATCCATTCTGTGATATTTCTGGCCAAGATGCATAATCTGAGCATAATCATGAAGGAAAATCAGACAAACTAAAACTGAGGAACTATCTACAAAAGAACTGGTGTGTAATTTTCAAAAATGTCAAGAAAAGCTAAGAAAAGACTGCAAAATTGCTCTATAATGAAGGCAACTAAAGAGACATGATGGGTAAATTTTTAAAATAACAACTTTGAGATGTAATTCACATCTCATAAACTTCACCCTTTCAAAGTATACAAATCAATGTTATTAGTAAATTCACAAGGATGTGCAACTATCATCACCATCTAATTTTAACACATTTTTTTAACTTGGGAATAAATTTTACAAAGGTTGTAAAAGACCACCAGTACACTGAAAGTTATAAAACAGAAAATTATAGAAAGAAAGATGTTACAAAAGACACAAAGAAATAGAAAGATATTTCATGCTAAAAGGTTGAGAAATTATTTTAGTATTATTAAAATATTAAAGTGTCCATACTTCCTAAAGCAGTCTACAGATTTAATGCAATACCTATCAAAATCCCAAAGACATTTTTCACAGAAACAGGACAAATAGTCCTAAAATTTGTGTGGCACTACAAAAGACCCAGACAAAGAGGTTCTGAGAAAAATAAAGTCAGAGGAATCACATTCTCTGAGCTCAAACTATAGTATCCAACAGCATGGTACTGTGAGAAAAACAGATACTTAGATCAGCAAAACTTAATTGATAGCCCACAAACAAATCCACACATATATACACAACTGATTAATGAGAAAAAAAAGGGAAGAACACACAGTGGAGAAAGGACATTCTCTTCAGTGGTGTTGGAAAAACTGGACAGCCACGTGTAAAAGAATGAAGTAGACCACTATCTTACACCATACACAAAAATGAACTCAAAATGGATTAAAGACTTCAATGTAAAACCTGAAACCATAAAATACTTACAAGAAAAAGATAGTTACTAAGCTTCTGGACATTGGTTTTAGCAATGTTTTTGTGAATTCAGCTTTAATGGCATGGGAAACAAAAGAAATATAAATGGAACTACATCAAACTAAAAATCTCTGTACAAAGGAAACCATTAAAAAGATGAGAAGACATCCAACTG